TGATATTTTATTCGGAAAGGAAAAGGCGTACAAATGTGAATTTGGCTTAAATAATATACCAAGCTGTCTCTGGTAAAATCAAACAGCAACAGTTTAAACTTCCCACTAAGGCGAACTTGTCCAAAATAATACTAAAGAACTATGTAGACACAGTAAACAATTTTAGACCGGCTGATCAGTGATGAGTAACCACATCGACCGATCGAATTTAACGCATCGTTTCCGAGAAATATACCGGGGTAAGAACAAAGCAGGTAACGGGCTTTGATACGTTTCCGTGGCCCTGCGGTGTGGAATTTACAGAGGGTGACCGCACGGTAGAACTCAACGGAAATTGTACCATAACCGATGTCTTATGTGAATTCATGACAGTTGGTAATAAAACAAAATAGGGTCTTCACACGAGGGTGGAGAAAGCTGTTTAAAAGACAGATTAGTGTTAACACATAATGGGGTATCTTGAATGCAATGGTAACATGGACATCGCGAAGGAGAAGGGAGAAAATCTTCAAAGGGTGATTGGATTCATAAATTACAGCACTCCATTTTGGTTTGACAGTAAGACGGAAACCTGCGGCGAGGTCTCTGGATGTAGTTTCAGGGAACCCGTTCGCTTGATGTGGTTTTCAAAAGCACCTACCAGTAGTGATTATCTATCCAATCAAACTGAGCCTCACGTGACACACCAATCACATGAACTGTTGCAATCAGCTGATTGACACGATGGATCAATAAGACCACATTCAAATGATATGACCTACGGTTTTCTGAAACAAGTAGTTAAATCGCTACTTGTTTCACTTTGACAGTAGTAGTAATAGTAACTAACTATTAGTAAAAGTAATATAGAAATATCATCAGCTTTTATCTAATCCCATGGAATGGTCCGGTTGCGGAATTTTCGGGAAATTGTGGCGATATCTTTTGCCTCGCAGACCGAATCTGCCCAATGAAGTGGATGATCAAGACTGTTCCCTATCCTCTTTGGGTGATATTGAGAGGAATATGAATACTGTACTTATTGAGGAGCCTACCCAAGCCCTATTCGAAAAGATCGTTCCCGGTCTGATTCAACAGAATGAGAATATCCAATCGGAACACACGAGAGAGCTGAATCATGCGGCTGATATGATCCGGCCGAAACTGATCCATCAACGTCCGCACAGTGCGCACATTCCATTCCGTCCGATTGTACTATACGAACAATGTTCCACTGTGGAAGAAATTCACCGCACTCCTCGCAACCGATCGGACGATAACGAACGACCGATACAACCACCTTCACGTGTACTCACACAATCGACCCTGTTGATTGAAGGTGCCAAAGTTCACACGGTCGCATGTAACCGATTTACCAATATCTCGACCAGTACAATTGAAATGCAACCCGGATTGGAATTAGAAACCCCGGTGGATCAGGACAGCGCAAACACGAGCACCACAAATCAGACAAACAGTGTACAACAACTGACACAGAAATTGGAACGTTTTAATGTGCCGAAAAGAGCGGATGAGATTTTGCACGCGATTGATGATACATCAATCACGCGCAAGATGCAATCGAAAGAGAAGGATGCCCAGTTCACCACACGTATGCATCACCCGAATCACATGACTCGAATGCGTCATGCGTATCCGTATTTTATGCCTGAATCTGCTTATGTGAAATTGAAACAAGAAGAGCGCTGGAAAGAATTGCGACGAGAACTACGCTTGGAATTGGAAACACAAATTGATTGTGATGTGTTACGTCGTGTAAATCGATTACGACGACCTCATCAGATCCCGGTTTTACCCGCTGTAGTTGAAGCTTTCGATATGGCTCGGCTATTGACCGTGCCCCCGTCCATACCGACATTGATCCGTTTGGGAATACAGTGTAAGAGCAAAATGAAAACATCACCCGCATTTCCCACAGTTCGAGTGTTTCAGAATTCATCAAACACATTAGCTGTTGGATCCGTTCGTAATCGTCGCACTAACCAAGGGACTCGCCGTCTGGGAAGACGGAATCGAATTTGCACGACAAATAACAAACAAACAAACCCTACTACCCGACCGAACACAAGTGACAATCACACAATCACACGATCTCAGGGGGAACGACCGAAAACGGCAGAAGAACGTCGAACGACAGCCATTCAAATGATCGAGTTGTATACAACAGCTTCCAATCTCATTTACGACTATCCGGACCACGAGATAAGCATATTTCAACTCCCGCTATGGACATGGCGTGATCCGTATGAGACGGGGGAGGATGAGGAAAAAGTCAATAAATCGAGCATTTACAAAGATATCCTGGAGGATCTGTTAGTTCCAATCGAGCATCGTAAAAAGAAACGTAGTTTGCATCGATTACGAAAAACCTCTGTTTCACGCGGATCATTACACACTCACGCACATGGTGATGATCCATTCCGATCGGATTCGATCCATCGTAGAGGGNCTGGCGGGAAGGTTTACTCGCCCAAGGTGTGCGTCTGTGTGCGGCCACGGGGACAGAAGAGGAGGCGTTCTTTCTCCAACTGATTTCACTCGAACGATTGCAACTGCTTACACGACTGGAGGAGAGTGAGGTGATTGCCACCAACCCCGAAGAGGATTTGTTTGCGATCAGGCAAATGAGAACAAAACACGGTAAATACGGTTACGGTGGTAAAAAGAACACGTGGAATAGAAGACGACACAATTTACCCCCGCTGAACACGACTCTAGCCAGAACAAAAGATGTGAAAAGTGCATTTGGTCGGGATGTGTTGTTCACCACCACCAGGCGATCCAAATTTCCATCCATTACACCGTACACGTTGGGCGCGAATCAGTACAAAATCGGTTCACAAACTCGACTGTCTATTTTCTCCATGAACAATAATCGATCAACCAGTAAAATTTTACCTATCAGTCCTCCGGAAACAAGAAACCCGACGAATTCGCCGGAATTGAATGCCGAATTCCCTGCTCTGATCAACTTGCCCAGTATAGATCCTAGTAAACCATGGAGGGAATCGAGTGGCACAAATCTATTGGATTTGCCAAATGGCTACTATAGTCGAACATTTTCACGTCGAACTCCGCATAAGGTGACCCAAGTCAAATGGAATTCGGTCGGACTGAAACAACAACAACAACCACAACCACTACGAACTCCCACCCCTGTGGTAGGTTTGCAGTCACCCCCGGAGAAAAAAACAAAGTCACGTCGTAGACTGAAGCGTCGAAGTCAGTCGTCTGTGTATTGAATGTCGAACTGTAGTACTGTGTGCATACAAACGGTGAGATAGAACAGTTGCAACGTGAACATACACAACGTCGCTGGAGCAACAGCAACACCACCAGCAGCAGCGACACCAACAACAACCTGCCCCTTAACTCCCCCCGGCCGCCGCCCAGAAAGCTTACAGTCCGATGATGTATGCCGACATGGCCCCTTCACATTCATTACATCACAACGTTTATGCTCACGTGTGCGTACATTCTAGGTGACATTTATATGCCCCCCCGCCCGGCCTCCCCTCCCCGGCCCCCTCCAGCCCCCACCCACCCCCAACTTGTACAATATATGCTTTCGATGCATATGTATTGCCAATATCCTGCTCTGCACACTCACACCACATGTTTCTTATCAATATCTGTTGATTATCATTGCTGCATTTTACTCTGGGATGAACTGAAACAATTTTAGACAATCTCTTTCTGGGTGCAAATTTTCAGTTGATCTCTGGCACACAACGACGCTGATCATTCCACTTACCCTGCTCATAGAACGATATGCAATGACTGTGATGACCGGTGGGTTTTTGAAGCATTGTAGCATTCCGCCTGTGTTAGCTAATCAGTGTCAAAGAAACAATTGGCACATGAGTAGAATGTAGAAGTATTTTTAGTGTAGACAACCAAGCAAGAATTGCGAACTCGTCAATATTTATGATCAACTGTAATGTGATTAGTCAACCATCAGCTCGAAAGAACAGGTCAAACACAGCAAATTTTCTTTTTGTTAAATAAGAAACGACAAAAAAGCTAAACTCCAACTTTGAGGAGGAACAGGATGTGGGGAAGACCATTTGTAGGGACCAGTACTTTGGTCCTGATTTGATGAGAGAACGGTTGTTGGTAGTTGAACACACATAATCAGGAAGAGTATGCCACAGTTTTGCAGTCCAGGTAACAACGAGAAACCGATAGATCGAGCCCTAATATTCAGAGAATTGTTGTATCTCTTCGGTTGCGATCCAGTTCAATGAAAAAAGGACACAGGGGAATTGTATTCTGAAAAACATAAATGGAAGAAAAAGCGGCAGAAAAAATGTGGTGAAAAAAACACCCGGTGAAGAAATGAGCTTTCAGATTGAAAGCAATTGAAGGATCCTTTGTGGGAACCGATTAAGAAAAACAGAATAGACTACGGCGCTTCACCTCATACGTGACGGTATTTTTCGATTGTTAGGGGGGGGGAGGATTTTGCTTCGCATAGGACATGGGTAGATATAAAAATGCGTTGAGTGAGAACTACAGAAAACAAATTTTGTGCACAGCTTGAGGAAAGTGTGTATACAAATGTAGACTAACAGAGAGGAGTTATGAGCAAACCCAGCAGAGAGAATTTCAGGAACGAAGGATGTGCCAATCGAAGTTCTGTTGAAGAACACAAAGGGGCATTGTCAGAAAGACTAAAAGGAGGACATTTTATGGGTTTATTGAAACCGATATGAATGGTAGACCTAAAGAATACGATGAATCCCACGCTACTTTTCACTTGCTCTTCATCACATCCAAGGGATTCCAGCACGGTTCATCATTTGTGCTTATCGTTCCTACTCACGTGACTGTACACGTGAACTGAAACACTCCAGGATATTTAACCACTCATCTGCAACTAGCTAGTCTCTTGTCTCCAGATGTTCGTCTCGGATTGAGAACAAAATGCATGCAGGCTGGCCGGTTGGTCTTAGTTACACCACTCTGAGAAAACTATGCCCCCATTGGTCAGCAGTATCTAGCGCTCTATGTTCTCTAAGATGTCACATCACTTTTCATTCGGTGTCTGTAAACAAAAACCCTGGTTCAATGCGGGCACTGGAGTTTCACTAGGTCAATTCCAGCAGGATGGAAAACTTTCCAAAAAGAAAACTGGAGGCTGCATGATCGCACACCAAGTCTGCTTGTAGCATTCTCTTTGATCCTAGGTGCTCTCTTAGTAGGAACACTATTACTACCACTTTGTATATTATTCAGTATAGCATTCAGTCACATCTTATCTCATTTTGTCCATCGTGACAAGACTGCGATTTGACGTGGTGTGATGGTTTTCGTGTCTCCATGACCCTGCGAGCTATACAGGATGGCTTTTCACAGTCGTAGATATATATATATATATATATTTAAC